ATGTGAAGTGCTAGCAAAGGCCGGACCTTTTTTTATCCGCAATTGACCAAATTTAAAGATTTGATGTAATAAACTCAAAAATTCCATTATGCAAAGATAAATTTATTAACTTTCTAAAAGACAATGGTACTTACATGGACACCAACTCATTTATTATAAAAAAAGTTTCCTTATAAATTTTACAGTTTTTGAAAGAAAACAAAAAAAAAGGAGAAACATTTATAAATCGAATCGGTGATCATAAACTAGGGTTCTTGTGAAGAAAAGATTTTTATGCCATGAGTAGAGTATATTCATCTCCATATCTTCTTACCTCGCCGGAATCGTTTTTCTCAGTCGCGAAATTGATCGTCGGAAAATTGAATATGGGTTGAACCGGAAATTCGATCTACTAAACCGAGATTGAACCAAATTGATTAACTTGCCAGAGCAGAGAAAAAGGTTACAACAGAGAGTATCGAAGAANCCGAGCAACCTCGAATCTCTTACAATTGCTACTTGTGCTTGTCGGAAAATCCTGCAGAATCGAGACGTTTATCTTCTTATCCTGGTAATTTCCATCCTTTAATCGCCACGATCACTCTCTGTATCTGGGAATCGAAACGGTTTCGCTAGTGTCAGAGTCGGATCGTTTTGTGCTCTGTAGAATTTGTTCGATTTCTGGGATTCCTAGATGAGTTTGTGAAGTAGAGGCAAATTATGACCCTTAAGTTTTCGAATAGAATCAGATACTAGAAATTTTCAAAGAAAGAATGAATTTAAATCCTCCATTTTTGCCTATTATATTACACACGGAATATTTCTAAGGGTTGAATCAAAGAGAAGGAGAAAACAAAAAGATGATGATGATGATACCATCTCTTTGTAATGAACACTAATGAGCACAACTTCTTTGGCATTAAGAGTGTGTGTGTGTGTGTTAAGAAAATACTTCTGTCTTGATCTCTCTCTCTTTTGCTACACTTTGTTTTGATTTCGATTTCGAAATGAAACATTTCGCTCTCTTTGATCGCTAAAAAAATAACCCTGCCTTATATGTTTTTCTCCTCTCCTATATGTGCCAA